CCTTCTGGGAAACGTAGTCCCGCCGGGGCCGGTTCTTAAAGGGGACTGCAGGCGTCAGAGGAAGGTGGGAGCTCGCCGCCTCTCCACTGCGCAACCTTTTCTACCACTCCTAGCCGCAGGGCAGGAAGTTTGGCTGGCTCCTAGCAGCTCGAGCACAAGGGGCGAGGGTGGGGATGTGACACAAATGGTGAGAGCCACCACGGATTTCGAACTTGTAGCGGGTGGACAGGCTTCCGGGCATCCAGTTTCTGCTCCGACTTGCTGTGTAGCTTAAGCAAAAGTCTTGCCCTCTCTGAGGCTCACTTCCTCTACCTTCAAAGGTGGGCCAATGACTGGTCACAAAGGCAGCAACGGAGGGGCCTTGATTGGACGATTTCAGAGTAAGGGGACGGGAAGCTGACAACTAAGTTTTGGGGAGAGCTGTCCACTTGGCATTTCGTCTTGCCCAGGATCTTGGATATCAGCCTCTGACTGAGGCGGGCAACAGCCGGACAAAGGAGAAGACTGACGGTCTCTGCCTCAGTTGCCTTATCTGCCAAAGGGAGTGGTCGAGCGCCCCTAGGTCTGTTCCAGTTCTGCCGTGCGCTCTGGTCTTTAAAGGGTTACACTGTCGGTTTCTGCCCCCACCACCAAACTTCACTACAATTCCCAAAATGCTCTGCGGGGCGAACAAACTGACGCACTTCCGCTGTCTGGGAGGTTGGGGGGGGCCTTCCCGGTTCCCGCTGTCTGTTCTTACCCCCCCACCACCTTAATTTCAGGGGGATCTTTCTGTATTTTCCAAGCATCGAGTTGAGCGTATCGTCACCCTCTACGGCTCACTAATTTGGGGGAAGGGAAGGAGGACAGAGATGGCAAGAGTTGGGGGGACATAGTTTCTGGGGAGACCCGGAGCCAGACCGCCTTTCTCCAGTCTTGAGTGTTTGCTACCTGATAGGCCCAAGCAGGCTTTGGGGACCCCCATGGTTTTGTTTTTTGTTTTTTCCTTCCTGGCGACGAGAACAGCCAGCGCGCGGGGCAGGTTTGGGGAGGGGTCATGTGGAGAAAAGGTAATTCCAACCCACATCAGCTTCTTCCTTTCTCTAGGCCTGGGCCCATAGTAAGCATTCAAAAATATTTGAATGACTTGCCAGAGTTACATCTATTAGTGCTTTTCAAACTAATTGGGGGTTGCCTGCCTCCACTCTCCCTCATCCCACTGCAACCATAGCAGGTCTGATTTTGTTACCCAGTCTTCAGTCTCAATTTTACCACCTATATTATTTTAACATTTTTCTTAAAGTCGACTCCCGTGGGGAAAAAAAGACTATTTACTTTTGCCTCATCCTCAGCAGTAGTATGTGCATAGTCATGGGTTTTTATGTACTAGGTACACATTTTTTAAAAAAATAAGTTAAAACTACACACATATAGAACCATTAAAAAGGCCATCCATGTATTACCTAAAATTGGCTTTTAGCCATTCTTTAGTAAACACGAGTAGGAGTCAGAAGTTCTAGCCAGAGGCTGGCTTCAGGTGGACTGGACTGGCCCCTGACAAATATAGGGTAAGTCCTTAAACTTCTCAGGAAAAAGCGGAGACCCTCTAGAATCTGCTTTTCATTGCCTACCTTTAGGTTAAAATGCAAACATGCATATAAATGCTTAGCATAGGGCCTGGCCCATAAGAGGAGCACCATAAACGAAAGCTGTTTTTAAGCTCCCATTACTTGGAAGATTCAACCTCTCTGTGTTGGGCCAGGCTGAGGATGCAGCAGTGATGAAGGTGGGTTCAGGTCTTGCCCTGACAAGGCTCATCCTGGTAACAGAGGCAGACATTTAGTTTAAATTTACTCAAAGGATTATTTAACTGCATTTCTTTTATAACTGCTGGGGGAAACGGGGTGTCCAGAAGGCCATTCCTTGAGAAGGTGACCTGAAGGATGAGTAGAATGTGGTTGTAGGAAGTAAAGACTCCTAAGTCTTTGTGCCCGTACTATAGATGAGGACAGCAGAGGCCCAGATTACATAGCTGGCCAGGGAAGTACCAGAGGTTGAGCCAGATCTGAGTCGAGGGTAGTGGTTATTATCTACTTTGCTACCAGGCTCTGCTGCAAGTTTGGGAGTTAAAAAAAAAGAACCAGCTCCTGCCTTCGTGAAACTATGGGGAATGTAGGCCTTAAGCAGATAAATGCATGTGGTCATTGAGGGACCACAGGATGCTGAGAGAGAATCTAAGCAGACCCATCCTAGCCCAGGGAAGAGAATCCAGGATGTTCTCCTGGAGATGACATTTAGGCTAGTATCTGAAGGATGAAAAAGTAGGAATAAGATTTGAACACAGGACTTGATGGTTTAAAAAAAAAAGGACTGGAAAACTACCAGCCTCCAACTTCAAGGGGGTGTCACCTGCCCATGGAGGAGGGTGGGGCAGGTGTAGATGTTGGAACTCCAGGCCTGTCTCAGACAGAGCTCCAAGTAATTGTATTAAAAATAAGTTTATTGATATCTTGTCACCACTGGAGAGAATGGAGGAGGTTGAGCTCTGGAGGTCAGAGACTGCAATGGGAGGCAGAAGGTTCAACCTATACCTCCCCAGCAAGACTCCACCCCCCTCTTCCTAGGGTACAGACTGCAGTATCCTCTTCATCCATATTCTGATTTGTCTTGCAACCCCCACCCCCTCCAAAGTCTGGGTTGGGGAGGTGGGTCAATTCTCTTCAAGTCAAGGCCAGGAGTTAGGGGAGGGGGGATGTGCAGATCCAAGAGGCTCCCTCCGCAACCCACAAAGGGCAATAATAAATAACATAAGATCGATGGCTTAGAAGTCAGGGTTAAAGGAAGCAGCCAGGCAGACAGCGCCGTATTGGAGAAAGGGCTGGGGGGCTCATCAAGGAAGTCCCCCCAGAATCAGGCACTAACTAGTACAGGGAGTGGGCTCTCTTGTGCCCCTGCAGCAGGGAGCCAGGGTGCAGCTGGAATGGAGAAGGTGCATTGCCCTCCTCCACAGGGCTAAGCTGGGGGAGGAGGTGCAGGCAGAAGGTGTGCAGACAAGCTTCTAGCCCAAGAGCTGATTTCATGGAGATTTCCATCGCCCCCGCCTCTTCCGTGTAGGGAAGCTTTTCCTCCTCTTGTGTGGGGGGGAATCATGGGGAGGGAGGGGGGCTGGGGGCGGCCGGGGGGCCCCCTCCTCACTCCTAGGAGCAATGATCACCCCCCTGGCTGCCACCATGGCCCCATCCACGACAGCAGCCACCATGGACACTGGTTCTGGGGTGACCTCCACCTTGGGGGAGGGTGGGGGCAGGACAGGCCTAGGGAGTGGAGGCGGGGGTGGGGGTTGGGGCAGAGGTGGGGGCAGCGGGTCAGCTGGGGTTCCTGGCAATAGGGGCAGCAGAGCGCTGAGGGCCTCGCTCAATTTGGCCAGTCCCTGCCGGAGGGTGCCGGCCAGCTCCCGGATGGCATTGGCAGTCTCCTGCTGGGCCCGTAGGAAGTCCAGGGAGGGGTCTGGGGCCGAAGGCGGAGGCAGTGGAGGGGGTGGGGGGCTGGGGGGCGAGGGTGCCACTTGGACCTGCTGCGGTGGCTGGGCTGGTGGTGGTGGTGGAGGGGCTGGGGGTGGTGGAGACAAGGCCAGGCGGGGCAGCTGAACGGTCTGCGGGGCTGGCGGGGGCGAGGACTCACGCTCCTTGGGTGGCTGGCAGCCCCCTTCCTGGGGATTGCAGGAGGGCCGGGCCCAAGGCTCTGGGCTGCTGGAGCCCCCCTTGCTGTGGGCTGGTGTATCTGTGGAGAGAGAGATGAAGGTAAGATGTAGGTGACCCCTAATGAACATTGTCTTGATTTCCTCTTTCCACCTCCCACCCACCCTGACCCACCTCAAAGCCATACTTTTAAAACCTAAGTCAGATCATGCCTTGGAGCAAAAGCCCCATGACCCCAGGGAGAGAAAGTATATTCAAGGATAACCTGGTGGCAGATGGATGCCAGCCTTAATGGAAACAGGGTCCTGGAGGTTCCCTGCTGAGCCAGGCAGCTCTTCTCACATTCAGAAAAAGAGCCAACATTCTAGAAGGCTCTGAATCATCTGGACAACCCCGCCCCCCACCTCCCAACACACACACACACCTCTCAGATTGCACTGCTGGATCCTGGGGAAGCCCCAGGGTGGGAGGGTCTGGGAGAGAGGTGGGGTGGCTGGAGCAGTAAGGGGTACTTCTGAAGGCTGGGAGTAGGGGGCTCTTCCCAAGCAGGATGACAGGGTATCAGTCTCAGCTCTGGTCTGTACCAGTTCAACCCCCAACCTGGGGGGCTTCCTTCACCTCCTCTCACCTGGGATCTTGTTCACGCTCATGGACTTTTAAGAGTCTGTGTGCAGAGGCTCCCAGATTTCCGGTCCCAGCCTGAACCTCTCCCCGCCCTGTGTACTTGGCATATCCTCTCCAATAATTATCCAATAATGGCTCAAACTCACTTGCCTAGAGCTGAGCTCCTGATCTTCCCCGAACCTGCTCCTCCCTCAGTCACTCCTATCTCAGATGACAGCAGCTCCATCCTTTGAGCTGCTGGGGATAAAAACTGTCACTCTTTTTCTCTCCCAAGACACCATCCATGTCCAAATGCCATTGGCTCTGCCTTCAAACTAATCCAACATCTATCCACCTCCACGGCCCCCACCCTGGTCTAACCACTACCATCTCCCACCTGGACTATTCACTGGGCTCCCAGCCTCCACCCCCGCCCCTGACAGTCTGTTCTCCACCGGTAGCTTCAGAGGTTCAACGAAAATACACATCAGTTATGCTACAGGAAACAAACTACTTACAAAGGACCACATATCATATGATCCACTTATCTGAAATGTCCAAAATAGGCAAATCTATAGAGGCAGAAAGTAGATTAGTGGTTGCCAATGTCTAGGCAAAGATTAGGGGACAAGGTCGGGGTTGATGGCTAAGAGGTACAGTGTTTCTTTCTGGAGTGATGAAAATGTCCTAAGAGTGATGGTTGTGCAACTCTACGAATGTACTAAAAGCTACTGAATTGTACACGTTAAATGGATGGGTTGTATGGATGAGAATTCTATCTCAATACAAGTATTAAAAAAATACAAGCCTGATGTCTTTTCTCTGCTCAAAATCTTCCCGTGGCTGTCATCTCACTCAGAGTAAAAGCAAAGTTCTCAAGGCTCCCACAATCTGCCTCCATTGCCTCCCTCACGTCATCTCCCACCCCTCCTCTCTCTCTCTTTCTCTCTCTTCCTCTCTCTTCATTTGGCTCCAGCCACTTTGGCCACCTTACTGGTCCTCATACACTTTCGGCCGGCTCCTGCCCCAGGGCCTTTGTACTTGCACCTCCCTTGGCCTGTATAGGTCTTTCCCCAGACACCTGCCTGGGTCCCTCCCTCACCTCCTCAGGCCTCTGCTCAAACACAGCCTCCTTGAGAAGGCCTTCCTTGACCCTCTGTCTAAAGTCACTCCCATCCCTGTCCTTTCCTCTCTCCTAACCCTACCTGATTTCTTTCATAGCTCTTATCTCCACCTGGCATGGGATCGCTCTGTGTTTGTTGTCTGTCTCCTCCTCCTTATGTCAGCTCCATCAGGCAGGGCTTTGTTTTGTTCACTGCTGTTTACCCAGCGCCTAGAACAATGTCCAGCACAAAATTTTGTCTTTAATGAAACAAGAACTGTGGCTTCCAGGGAGTCAGTACTGATGGGCACCAGGCCCCAGGTCCTGGCGGCAGCCCTCCCACAGCTCCCCAGCACCCATGGGGGACAGTCCAGCCTCTCTCTAGGGCTCCAGAGCCTCAGCTCTTGCCCCTTTCTATCCCTCTTCCTTGCCTCTGGGCCATGGTAAGTGCTGTTCTCTCCACCACAATCGCCACCCCCGCCAGCCCTGAATGCCGGGGCTCTAGCCTCCTTGAGCCACCCAACCTGGAGAAGTGGGAGAGGCTGGGAGAGAGATGACGCTTTCCTGGCTGGCCCTCGGCAAAGCGGCTAAGCTCTTCTCCTGTGTTTGTTCAGCCAGCCCCTGGGGTAGGTGCTGTCGTTACTACCCCATTTTATAGATGAGGTGACTTGAGGCCCAGAGAGGTGTCACAGAACCAGTGAATAGGAAAAGAGGGATTTGAGCCCAGTCAGGCTCCTGAGCTTATGGGTTTAACCCCTCCTCGGGCACGGTGGCGAGTCTCCTTCAAAAAGGGCATTAGAATTGCAGCCACTTGGCAATATGGCTTTTCTAGTCTACTGAGTAAAAATATCAGAGAAGCGCAGCCTTCATGCCCACCAGGCTCACAGGGATCATGGAAGGACTGCTGTGAGAGTTAAAATCATAGTTATTTGTTGGACATTATGCTGTACACCAGAAATGGATACACTGTAACTTACTATACTTTGGTTAAAAAAACTGTGACCTTTGGACCTCAGTTTCCCCACCTGTAAATGGGTGTGTATGAGCATAGGGCAAAGTAACCCTGTAACTGAACATCTCCCTGAGGGCTATTACAGGCACTGATTGAATCACCATGGACACAGGGTGCCAGTGCCTGGCACACAGTAAGGTTTCAGTGTTGCTACTGTTATTTTTCTTTCATTCAAATATTAGGCCACAAGATACACGGTCCTTATTTCTTCTTCCAGTGTCAACAAAGATGCCTCAGGCTGCCCCAGGCTCTGTTCCTGTCCTTCAGTCAGAGCAGTTCCTCTTTAAAGAGTTTTACACAGTGGGTAATCTCTGTGTGAGAGTCTAATCAAGGATGCTTTAAGCACATTCCTGCCTCAGGGCCTTTGCACCTGCTGTTTCCTCCAGCTGGAGTCTTCTTCCCTCAGATATTATCCACTTGGCTCAATCTCTTTCTTCAGGTCTCTACTCAAATTTCACCTCCTCAAGAGAATCGCTCCCTGACTACCCTGTCTGTAGAGAGCCCTCTTTCATCACTCACTATCCTCTAAACATGCTTTATTTTACTTCTTTTAGTTCTAATCACCTCCTTGTATAATCTGTTTTGGGGGGTACTTGTTTGTGGTCTGTCTCCCTGACTAAAATGTCAGCTTCATATGGGAAGGAAAACTGTCTTTTCCTCCATAGTATTCCCAGCACCTACCATGATGCCTGCCTCAGAACAGGTGCTCAGTACTTGTGGAATGAATGAATGAATAAGGGGGTTGCATAGCTTTTGAAGTAATAAGTTTGCCATCTCTGCTCTGGTTCAATGGGGCCATTTCACAGATAGAAACACTGATATTTGGCTCATATTGAGAATAAGGGTCCCGAGTGATTGTGTCTTTCTCCTGCTTAAGACACTTCCATGCCTCCCACCTATCCTCAAGATAAAATCCAAAGCCCTGACCTTTATTTACAAACCACGTGTGATCTAATTCTTGCATGCCCATAAACCCTCAGTCAATATTAATTGTTGTTATTATTTATATATATATAGTATATATCAAGCCATCTAGCCCAGTGGCTAAGTGCATGGACTGTGAGTTGGACAAAACACATATTAGAATCCCAACCCTACTACTTACTTGCTGTGTGAACTTGGGTGGGTTAATGAACTTCTCTAAATTACATGATCCTGAGCTGCCTTATTTGATCATGTGCTCCCTTTCTCTAAAACCTTCAGGGGCTCCCCACAGTACTCAGGATACAACTGAACTCTTTAACCTCAGTGTAAAGGCCCTGCATGGTTGGGTCTTTGCTGACTTCTCTGACCTTATCTCAAACCTTTTCCTTCTTCAGTTTTTCCACTCTCCCTTCCTCCCCTCCCTCAACTAGGAAACATCTCTCAGTTTCCTAAACTGGCCAAGCTTTCCTGCCTCCAAGCCACTGGACATGCTGTTCCTTCTATCAGGAACACTTTCCCAGCTCTTCTTCAGCCTTCCTCTTTGTGTCACAGCTCTGATGCCTCCTCCTCCAGGAAGCCCTCCTTGACTTCCCAGGCTGGGTTAGGTGCCCACTCGGGACTCCCACAGCCCAGCCCCGCCTGCTCTGAGCCACCACTGTCTACCCATGGGTCTGTCTCCCCTACTGGACTGTGAGCCTCAGATGGCTCTGTCCCCAACACTGCCCAGCACAGGACAGGTGCCTGGGGAATAGCTGCAAAAGAAATAATCCAGAGTCAGGGCTAAGCGGGAGGTTTTGTACTCCACTCTCCACAGTTCTTTTACTCAGGGAATGACCTTGGGAAAATGACCAAACCTCCCTGACTCTGATTTATAAAGTAGTGAAAGAGTTCCTACTTCACAGCATTGGTAATTACATCAAGAGCTAAAAAGGAGGCAATGTACTAAGCAATTTACACGTTAACTCATTTAATCTTCCCAGCAGCCCTTTGAGATGGACACTATTTTTTATACCTGGTTTACAGATGCAAAACCTGATGGGCAGTAACTTACCCCAAATGACACAGCCGAGTGGCAAAGTTGTAGCTGGAGCCCCGGCTACCGCCAGAGTCACTCCCTACACTACAGTTGAATGAAATCCTGGGTGTGCTGATGATCCCAGGTGTGGACTCTGGAGTCAGGCCTCCTAGATCCAGGTTGTAGTCCTGATTCTGACAGTTACTAGCTGTGGACCTGAAGCAAGTCATTTCACTTTTCTGAGCCTCAGTATCAGCAGGTGCAAAATGGCACCCCTTTCACAGGGTTGTAGTTAGGATCTCATGAACCATTTAAAGGGCTTGGAACAGCGCCGGGCACGAAGTAAAATTTCTTTGCGTTTGTAAGGTGATGCTGAAACAACTCACCTGCCCGTCGGTCCTCCCTGCGGTCCTCAGACAACACATAGCGTTGGGCGCAGGCGCTTGGGGCCGGCGGCTGCGAGGAGGCGGCCGCTGGGGGCTGCTCGGCCCCTGCACCAGCTCCTGGGCCCGCCACACCCGGTCCCAGGATGGCAAAAATGGTCTCCTCCTCCGCGGAGAAGGCGTCCTCGGCGGCAGGCCC